GTGGGAGGGATAGACTGGGATTTCAAAATTGTAGAATAGATAAACAAGATTACACTGTAATAGCACAGGGAAATATACACAAAATGTTATGATAAATCACAGAGAAAAAAATGTGACAATGAGTGTGTATATGTCCATGAATGACTGAAAAATTGTGCTGAACATGCTGAACACTGGAATTTGACACAACACTGTAAAATGATTATGAATCAATAAAAAAATGTAAAAAAAAAAAGAGGCTTCTTTCAATTGTATACTGAGCTGTTCCTTAAATAGGAGTGGGAAGTTTATGACAGTGATATCTAGCAGAAAAGGTATTTGAGGAAGAAAGAATAGCATGTATGAGAGAGCATGTAAGTGCGTGCCATCAAGCATGATACAGCATGTTGTCTTTATAATTTAGTCTATAGAACCCTAATTTGATCCCATATCCTTAATTCGTATGATAAAACAAGAGAAAGGAGATCCTGAGCAGTCAGAGAAAGCCACAGAAACCTTGTACTCACAGAAGACGAGTAAATTAGTTTACAATGTTTGCCACATATATACCAAATCAAAGGATTCTAAATAACTTAATTATGAATTTTTCACACAAATTTCTTTAAGGAAAAGAAAGAAAAAAGAGAATTACTTAACAATTCTAGAAGAATAAATTTGAGTGTTATTAAAATTAGTCCAAATAAATCTAATTCAGTTTAAAAGGTATTAATTGAACATGTGTTACAAATAAACAAATGATTAAATGACTATATCAACAGAAGAAATGAAAGGTGATTACTATATTCTTGTAACTACTGTAACTCCAATAACATTATATTATTCTCCAGAAGCTTTAATAAAGTCATCAATGTACAACATAGCATTGAGCAACATACTCTACAGAAAAAGAAAAAAAAATTTTTTTCTCAAGGAGTTGTTTGATTTAGCAATATGTAGCTAAGAGGGAATAAAATCAAATATATTCATTATATAAATATTAAAATACAAATATTACACAGTTGTAGAGGCATTGAATAAGATGTAATGGGCATTTCTTAAAGCATTTTTAAACAAACAAAAGGTGGAAAACACAGGAAATTATAATCACTGGGGAAAAATAAAAATAATTAACATTTAGGGTTTTTCCTCTGTGCCACTACACTGATCTTTTTCACATGTCTTATTTAGTCATCACACAACCATATGAGATAGGTACTATTATCATTCATTTGTAAATACTAGGAAACTGAGGTGAAGAGGAATTAAACAGCAGTAAAATTAGCCAAGCACACGATACTGAACTTCATCCCTGGCAGTCTACCTCCAAAACCTGGAGTTAGCTTGATCCTTAACCAATAAGCTAATGAATTACTTGGAAAAATGTCCTGAAGTTTAAATTCTACCCAGGTAAGAAGATATTTTCAGTTTGGGCATCTAGTAAGAAGTCAGGAAAAAGATGACCAAATATTTCCAGTTCTCCAAAATGGAAAACTTCACACTCTCCCCATATCTGAATTATAAACAGTATTGGTGAATCCAGAGATGTTAGTCTTCATGTGTTTAATTATGGGTGTGAGTTCCCAAGGCTAATAAGCCAGGGGAGGTAAAAAGTTTCAAAGCATAAGATTAAAAAAAAAAGTTTTTACAGATCCAAAGCATAAAAATGCTCATAGATCTTAGGTTATATATTTTTAAATAAAGAGAAATGGATAACAGGGTTAGGAAGGTAGTGACAATAAGCTAAAGGAGAAAGTAAGTCCTTGGTATCTGGGCAATAAAGAACTATTTCAGTGTTGTTGTCTGATAAGAGATTTCAGATCTTGTGTCTTGATACTCATTTCCATGTCACCTAATGAATGAGGCCAACTCAACACACGAGACCTTGGAAACTTGGTAGTACTGACTCTGAACTATAAGAAAATGGGAATGCATGACCTCAATTTTAGCAGTCAGTGGACTCCAGGATATTGCCATTTTTAAAAAATACACTACACGTCTATCAAAATTTCTCTAGAAAATAGAGCAGACATAACACTAAAAACTACAGCCTTCACACTGATTCATGTCTGCTTCTTTGTTTTTTTAGAGATTCATTTAATACTAATTTTTATTTATATATTATTAGTCCTACTCCTTTAAGTGGATAAACAATAATTCTTCAGTTTGATTCCATTAGAAAACAATACAACATTCAACATCTATGCTATGAAATTATAGCCACATACATGGAAGAAATTATTTCAAATTGCTAGATATATATTGTTCATCATACAGTTCTCTAGAAAATTCTTTTAAAATATATATTGTTTACTTCTCGTTTTCCCCTTTCTTTACTCTTCAGTCTATGTTTGTAATTATCCTTCAAAAGACACAGAGATTAATCTGTTCTCCAGTTTTAACAAATGAAAAAGCTAAAATGACATATTGAATTAGAATTTTTGGAATTTACAGATATCTAGTAAATAAAAGTTCTTTCAAGTGATAGATGCAATACAGCTTGTGGGAGAAGGAGCAGTTAGTTATTTTCTATACTTTATCTCTTTTACTTCCATGCATTCTTGAACCATCTCTTTTATTGATCCAACTACAATCTGACAACTTTGACCATTAGTGTCCTAAGAACATGCTCCCTTATTTTCTCGGTCCTTACTCCATACACGATAGGGTTGAGAAAAGGGGGCGCCGAAAAGTACATATTTGCAATAAAAATATGGATATGTACAGGTATATGTTTCCCAAAACGGTGTGTGAAAATGGAAAAACCAGCAGCGGAGTAGAAGACAAGAATAACACAGACGTGGGACCCACATGTGCCCAGAGCCTTAAAGCTAGCTTCTTGGGATGGCAGGCGGAATTCAGAATGGAGGATGAAGGCATAGGATATAGCAACAAGAACTGCATCACATGAGCCAATAATAGAAGCCATACTGAGGCTATAACTCTTGGTGGCCCCTGTGTCCATACATGCCAGCTTCACGACAGCCATAAACTCACAGTAGGAGTGGGCAATGATTCGTGTCCTACAGTAAGGCAGCTGTTTGAGCAGAATAGGATGTGGAGAAAAGAAGGCTACCCACCGAATCACCACAATGATACCCGTTATAGGGATGTGCACATGGGTGAGAATGGTGGAATGGTGCAGTGGATGACAAATGGCCACGAAACGGTCAATGGCCATGGCTAAAAAGAAGCCTGATTTCATAGCAGTAAAACTATGGGTGAAGAACATTTGAGTCAGGCAGGCATCAAAGGCAATGTCATGGGCTCCAAGCCAGAAGAGACAGAGCTTGCGGGGCAGTGTAGATGTGGAAAGGACCAGGTCAGTGATCAAGAGCATGCAGAAGAACAGGAACATAGGCTCGTGCAGGCTTCGCTCTGCCCTCGCCACAGCCAGAATGGTCACGTTCCCCACCAGGGCCACAACGTACGTGGAACAGAAGGGAATCCTGATCCAGACATGCAGGTGCTCTAGTCCTGGGATGCCCATCAGCAAGAAGGTGGCAGGAGAGGGACGAGAAGTATTGAGAGGAGGCATGATGGCCTTTCCTTTGTTTTTTATCAGTACTTCTGAAGAAAGAGTTGCTATGCCAAGATGATCACAACCAGATGCTGAAAAATGGAGAATTTCTTGAGGAGGGCCATTAATAATGTTTTTAAAAACAGCTCAAATTCATAACCTGGCACATTTAAGTTCATTAGAACCAGATAATTAAGAACAAACCAACATTGTGTTTAGAAGTAGAGAAAGATAACACTTTTATCATCTCATATTATTTCAAAGACCTATAAGTTACCTTTTCCCTTCATTTCCAATAAAAGATTTCATCTGTAGTCATACATGTACTTGGTTGAACGAATATTTATTGAGTAGTTCTGTGCTTCTCCTCTGAGCTTTCATTCAATATTTCTCTCATGTGAGAGAGTTCCCATAACTGGAAGTGATTAAGCAGAGGTCTTATAGAAATTGCAGGGAGTTACTTAAAAGACTCTTACTTGAGGAATAGGATAAACGGTCTCTGTCCCTCCCTGTCTGGACATGATATTAAAGTCTTTGGCATAATTTTTGGAATAGGATTAAGCTAATCCATAACTTCAGCCTTTCATTTGACACTATGCCTACATAACTAATCTGACAAAATATTCTGAAGTAAATTTTTCCCATCATTTATTCTTTTATCGTGTACCCTTTAAATAAGCACATGTTGTGTTCTTTTGAACCAATAGATGTATATTGCTAAGGATAATGTATTTCTTAACATTAACCCTATTCACTACCTTGTCTTCTTCATTTGTTTTTAGATTTAAATCATTTCAATGTGCAGTTGGATCCTAACTGTGCTCCTTCATTTGTTGATCCAGAAACCCACATCCTAAAACATGTACCGCAGTTTATTTATTGGATTGGTAAATTGACCTAATGATGTCTGAAGTATCAATAATTGACTACAGCAGATTTCCTTATACTCCTTACTATAATTCCCATGGACAGTCAAATATACATGGGAGAGAATTTCTGGGATAAAGTAGTTGAACCCAAGGAAGGGCACAGAGGGTTAAAAAAGAAAAAGACTCTTGGTAACCACAAAGGGCTCAGAGAAATCCTGGGTTACTAAATTTCTCTTTTCCCATTTCCCATCAAGACAGTTCTTGGGTAGCACTATTATCAGCTCTTTAAGAGAATACACTTTTCTTGGCTCAGATAAATTCTTATAAATATAATATGTACTATAATAAGAACTAATACAGAGTTACCTCTTTATATGCTTTCCAGAGTCATGCCAACACATGTAATCTCCAAATATCATTGACTGAAGAAATTTTACCTAGGCTTTTACATTTACATTTCTGGGCTTTATTCTAGTAAAAAACACTTGAACCATGCAAATATGGCTTTTAAAAATTATTTAGCTTTAAACAAGTAATTACACTTTAACTTTAAGCAAGTAATTTATAAGGCAAAATTACACCAGAGGGGAAGGAAGGATGAGTTATGTAGAAATGACAGCAAGGAATCAAATTAAGTTTAGTGAGTCAATAAAAGGCTTCTTGAGTAGATGCCCTTAGGCTAGAATGTGAAGCGTATATGACTTCAGCCCATGGGGACTGAATATAAATATATAGGTACAGATATAGATGATATCTATCTATCTAACCATTTATCTAAATATATCTATTTATTTACACACACAAGCACACACACATAAACAAAGGAAAGGAGCATAAATAATCATCAGAAAAGACAATCATGATGTAATGAATTAAAATCTAGTGTAGTTGGAATCAAGGACTACAAATGAGATTCAAGTGAGATGAGATTCTATACGTAAACAAGAGTCCCTACACATTCATGTGTAATCACATTACTAACAGGAAATTTTACAACCCAGTCTCTAACCAGTGGCTATCACTCACTAGGTGCTCAAGAGTATATGTTGGAAGTATAAATACAATACAGAGCATTACAAGAGCAGAACTGAAAAATGCACACACACCGATACATACATTAGTTTGCAAAACACCTTTTTTTGTACACACAATATAATCCCTGTGATATTATCTGTCTAAAAATGCCAACCTGTGGTTGAGTCCAAATGTCATGAGGTATCCCTATTGTCCCTTCAATAGATTTATATGATCTGAAATATGGTCAAAATAAGAGATAACCTTCACTTCTAAAATATCCTTAAAAAAAGATTGTTGCTTCCTAGAATTTAGTTTTTTATTCATTTCATCCATGGAAAAATTTTTTAAATGTGTATTCCTTCTGTTTCAAAGGATTATATAGTCTCTTTTGAATCTGTATCATTTGGAAAATAAAAAGATGTTGTTTGAGTGTGTCACATGGTCTTTAAAGTTTTCCTTAGATCACTGAGACCAGACTGTTTCTTTCTCTATATCCCTCTCTAGTTTCATAACAGCCTTAATTAGCTCATGAAGAAACTGATTCAGGGCCAAGAAGCAACCTAAACATGTACCTTCTATATGTAGCAGCTTCAGCATGGTAATCTTGGAGGATAAGCAGGAATGACCTCTGGCACAAACAGGTCTTTAGGGAATCATTGGGAGAAGGGGGAGTGTTTGTATTGTAGATGATGATTGATAACTTCCTAACTTAGGAAGCAATTTACCTGTGCATTCCCTTAGGCTTACTGCTTCAGATGGAGCCATAACTCAATATTTTAATATGATTATATTAGCCATCTAATTATATCAAACATCTAATAGGAACAGTCCTGAAGAAAACTGAAATGATACAGAACACATTCAATATTCATTAAATACATCAACTTTGTTCCAATGTCAACTTGAAACATAAACTTTATAGGCCAGAAGAGAGTGGGGTGATATATTTAAAGTTGAAAAAAATAGAGAATTCTATATCTGGCAAAACTGCCTTTCAGAAAATGAGGAAAAAAATTAAAATATTCTTATATAAACAAAAGCTGAGGGAGTTCATCACGACTAGACCTGCTGCGTAAGAAATAATAAAGGGAATCCTTTATGTTCAAATTAAAGGAAGTTAAAGAGTAACTGAAACTTATACAAAAATATAAAGTTCTTCAGTAAAGGTAAATACATATACAAAAATAAAAAACAGTATTATCACAATTCTAGTTCATAACTTAAATTTTATTATTCTAATGGATCTTAAAGCACAAACATAATTATAAATCTATGTTATTGGGTACACAATATATAAAGATGTAATTTGTGACATAAATTGTGGGGGTGGAGTTCTAACAAAATAGAACTTTTGTATATGATTGAAGTTAAGTTATTATCAATTATGAATATATTGTTATAACTTCAGAATGTTATTTCTAATACTTGTGGCAACCACAAAGAAAATACTTAGTACACAAAAGGTAAATGATAAGGAATCAAAAGGTGTCACTACAAAAATCAACTAAACACAAAGGAAGGCAGTAAGGGAGGAAATGAGGGACACATAAAGTTATAAGACATGCATAAAACAACAAAAATGGCAATAGAAATTTCTTCCCTATAAGCAGTTACTTTAAATATTAACATTTTAAACTCCCCAATCAACACACATAAAATGGCAGAATGGATTTAAATAACAGGATCCAGCGATGGATCAAGGTGATGGAGTAAGAGGATATGAAGTTTACTTCCTTCAACAAACATACAAAAATACATCTACATGTGGAACAATTCTCACTGAAAACTAACTGGAAACTAGCAGGACTCCTGTACAATCAAGGCTCTAAGAAAGATCCACATGTAATTAGCTGAGAAGGGAAGAAAAGTGATCGGGTTGGGACCTGTGCCCTGGGAGGACACACAGAGGAAGAGGAAGAATACATGGGTAAACACCTGCCATGAGGAGTGAGGAGTTAGCAGTGACAGTCACAGATTGGGCAGCCCAGTCTTGGGGTCCTATGTACAGGAGAAGAGCTCTCTTGGCTGGTTGGAGGCCCAGTGGGAGTAAAAGGAGGGTGTAGAAAGCCTGGACTTTGCTCATGAGGAGCATGTATGAGCTTGACTTGACCTGAAGTCAAGGTAGAGAGAGGTCTGCTCTAGTGGCTGCCAGGTTTCCCAAGACCATTTTGGTGAGTGTAAGGTGCACCAACCTGAGCTGAGTGAATGTTCTGGCCCCAATCACTCCATGTTACAGAATAGCATTAGATCTGGGGCACTACAACCCACACTCAAGCAGGGAGAGTGGCCATGGAGGCGAAGAATAGTGACTGGCTGTGAGAGACAAAGGGGGCTTGCACCTGAGGCTACATCTGCACGAAGCAAGGGAATCAACTGAGGGCACCCACATAGACAGCACATTGGAGACACCTTGGCTCTCTGCCTGAGGCCGACATGAGCTGAGAGACTACACAGTTCCCAATATCTTTGGCACTTCCTCATTCTGGGGCAAGGGTCTGGGTGAAAGGAGAGGGGAAAACACAAACTAAAAGGGAAAAAAGAGCTCAGGCACAATCAGCTTGGAATCAGATACCACCCCTGATAGGTCAGTGATGACCACTGGGCAGAGGGAATATCCCTTCTCACAACCAGCTCCAGCTCTAACCCCTACCTCTCCAGCTCCACCCACTAAACAACAAATGGATCACTAAAGAAATCAAAGAGGAAATAAAAAAAAAATACCTAGAGACTAAAGAACACAAAAATACAATGATCAAAAACCTATGGGATGCAGCAAAAGTTTTTAAAAGGGAAGTTTACAGCAATATAAGTTTATCTCAGGAAACAAGAAAAATCTCAAATAAACAACCTAACCTTGCACCTAAAGAAACTAGAAGAAGAAGAAAAAAGAAAACCCAAAGTTCGCAGAAGGAAATAAATCATAAAGATCTGAGAAGAAATAAATGAAATAGAGGATAAAAAAAGAAAGAAAAGATCAATGAAACTATGAGCTGGTTCTTTTAAAAGATAAATAAAATCAATAAACTTTTAGCATGATTCATCAAGAGAAAAAGAGAGAAGGCCCAAATCCATAAATCAAAATGAAAAAGGAAAAGGAACAAATGACACAACAAAAATCCAAAGAATCATAAGAGATTACTATTAACAACTATATGCTAATAAAATGGACAAACTACAAGAAATGGACAAATTCGTAGAAATGTAC